GCCCAGGCTAGGCTGAGGCATCTGATGGCAAAGGCCAATCTGTGTGATGGGTTATGCTGGACTGAGTTGGATCAACCACTAGCATGCACAAGATCTGTGGCTGGGAGTGAGCCTGGCCGGGGAGCTAAGGCATGCTCTGGGGTTCTGGTTCTCACTGGTGAGCGCGAAAGCTGGAATGGGGGTGGTGAACTGAGCTGGACATGGCTATGATATCCCTCAGCATGGGGTGGACTCGATCTGGGGTATACCAGACTGGGCTTCAGCACTGACGGGTGCTTGTGAGAGCCAGAGTGTGTAGGACAGGCTCGGCTAGGTTTTGGCACCCACTGAACCATGTGAACCAGGGCTGGTGGTAGGTCATGTAGGGCTGAACTGTAGCAGCTACTGATGTGTGTGAGATCTGTAATTGGCAGGTGGCCTGATAGAGGAGCTTGGGGAACTCCTCTGTCATGGCATAGTCCCTGCCTGTGAGCACAAGAACCAAGGCTGGGAGCAGCCCAGAGCAGGCCAGATTACAGTACCAATGGCACATGTGTGGCTCAGAACTGGGGTGGACCAGGCTGGGTAGTTAATAGCACTTATTTGCTGAAGTGAGAACCAAGATGGATGGGGTGCAGGGTAGGCCGGGTTGGTCCACAGTACTAGCCAGTTCACATTAGGGGCTGACTGGGCTGGTCTACACTCCAGTACCCACCACCATGAGCTGGAATTGGGGATAGGTCGGGCCAAACTAGGCTGCAGCACTCACTGGTGAATGCTGAGGTTAGATAAGCTATGTGAGTGTGGTCACAGCTCCCACCAGTACAGGTAAGACCTAGGATAGGGAGCAAACCCGGTAGGGGAGCTGTGGGGGTTCTCCTGCTGGACCATTGCTCCTGCTGGTGAGCATGAGAACTGGGGCTGTGGCCAGACCAGGCTGGGCAGGACTACAAAGCCCGTTGTCTTGCGTGTGAGCTGGTTTAGGGGGAGAACCAGGCTGGGATAACTGGGTATACCCACTGGTACGCACATGAGCCAGAGTAAGTGTGGCTGGTTTGGCTTTGCTGAAGCATCGGCTAGGACTTGGGACACGTCCTGTCAGGCTAGACTGTAGAACCACCTGGTAAGTGCAAAATCCAGGGCTGGGAGTGGGCCTAGCATGGAAATGGTGGGCATCTCTCTGACGGCAGGCCTGATGGGGATGCTGGGTGTCACTCTGACTGGGCTGCAGTTCCTGCTGATGGGCTGGAGGGCCGAGTGCATGTGTGGTGGGCAGGCTTGTGCTGGGCTGCTGCATCCATTGATTTGTGCGTGAGATGTGGCTGGGGACAGAAGTGACCAAGTGACTATAGTCACCAGTGTGTGTGTAGGCTGATGTGGGTGATGGACTGAGCCGGACCCCTGCACTGCCTGGCACACACAGGAGTTAGGCTGGGGTCACCCCTGGCGAGGTTTTGCTGACAGCTGTGCATTGCACGGCATGCCCAGATGGAAGACAAGACAGTCAGTTCATTGAGGCCTGCAGAGGATGTCTAGTGCAGCCAAGCTTTGATGAGAGTGTCTGGGTGAATCAAGACTCTAAGGTGAACTGTGTCACCCAGTGGCTCTTGGGAGGAATTCCTCATCCTTGGAGCAATGAAATGAACAGCATCTCAGAACTATCGAAAGCACTTAAGCAATATCCTCAGAACATGCTCCACATGGGGGACTCTGGGATGACACTGGGATGACACCCCTGCTCGTGGGAGAGGCCCTCTCACCCTCTCTGCCTACTTTCTCCAGATACAGGAAGAAAAAAAGGGGATTAGAGGCAGCTGTCTCATCCCCTTTCTCCCAATCCTCAGCTATCCATACCCTAACTGGGTGGTCCACATGAGCATGTGAGGCTGCCCACTGGAGAAAGGCGATGGCCACGAGTCAGCCAACCAATAGGGTCCGTCTTTGCTGAGTCTGACAGTGAAGCTCATGTAGGCCCACTGGTAGCAGCAGCCCAATTGGTCCTCCCAGCTCCCAGCACCAACCAACTTAAAGGCCTGTTTCAGGCGCCAGTCTCTCCTAGTGAGAGCAGCTTAAGCTGACCGCAGTGCCCCGATCCATCCCCTCATTTCCCCCAGCAGAGGAACACGGGATGTGTATGTCCGGTCCCAGGCTGCCCGTCGCCGGCAGGGCCAAGTGGAGTCTTGTTTTGCCAAGCCCCCTGGCAGTGTTCCGGGGGTGCCTTGTGCTCGTGACCTCCAGATGCACCGAGGACTACCACAGGCGTTCATCCCTCTCAACTGTGCAAACATCATCAGAAATAAAACGAATTGATTATTAAAAGAATGTGTTGATTATCTTTAACACTTCACCATTTTTCATGTTTAGTTTATCATGTTTCATGAAAAACTGTATTATTGAACATTTTCAGATCATTTGTGATCCTGCTTTGGAAGTCTTTTATGTTATGGCTCATTCTTTTGTCCAGATGCTGTCCTCTCTTAGGCGTTGCTTGTCCTAAGTAAAAAACAATGTGGTGTTTGAACTACATCACCTGTAAAAGGCTTTCAAGCCCGACATTAACATTACAGGAGTAACTAGGATTTTCTTGATGACTTTCAATGCGCAAAATAAAAGCGAGTCCACTAGGGGGAGCCCCTCTACATTTTGTCTCCGCAAGGCAGCCAAGCTTAGGTGAACACAGATCCCGCGCCTCGCCTCTGCCTCTTCCTCTTCTGACCGCGATGAGTGGTCCTCAGTGCAGAGAGCTCATCTTCTCAGCGTGGAGTGGAGTGGCTCTGCAACAAGAACTCCTACTTTGGGGCTGGAAGCTTGGTGTAGCGGTTGCTGCTGCTTGGGCTGTTCAGGGTGCCTGGGTTTGAGTCCTGGCTGTGCTGCTGGTCCAGCTTCCTGCTAACTCACACCCCCCTCAAGTGCTTGGTTCCCTGCCACCCATGTGGGGAACTGCATTGAATTCTGGGCTCCTGGCTTCAACCTGACCCAGCTGTGGCAGGGGTAAGCGTTTAGAGAGTAAACCTGTGGGTGGGTGATGTCTATTATTTCTCTGTCTGACTTTTCAATAAACTCAAAATTAAAATTTAAAAGCATTTGTACTTTGCTCTCTGGAATGTATTTTTTGTTTCTGAGAGTTTTGGAATACAAGAAACACATACCTGTGGATCATCCAGCTTCTTATTTGACAGACAGTGACTTAGAGAGAATCTTAGATTCCAGAACAGACACAGTCCACGGGAGAGCCAAGGTTGGAATTCAGATCCAGAAATGTTGACATGAGAGCCAAGGGGGGAGAGAAGTGGGCATTAGTGGGGTACAAAGAGGAACTGTTTCATTTTTGTGGTTTTTAAATTTTTATGTATTTGAAAAGCAACAAGTAGGAATGAGAGAAAGAGAGGGAGATATCTTCTTGCTGTTATAGTTTTATAGTTCTTTGATTTCACACTGATGTAAACTTTCCTTGAAATCTGTAGACAAAGGCTGCTGTTGTGGCTGGTGGCTAAGGCCTCTGCATCTTACATGGGTACCAGTGCGAGTGTGGGCTGCTCCACTGTGATTAGCCTGGCACAGCAGTGAGAGAAGGCCCAAGTGCATGGGAGACCCAGAGGAAGCTCCTGACTTCAGCCTGGCTCTTGGTGACTGCCTGAGGAGTGAACCAGCAAATAGAAGAGCTTTCTCTGGCGGTCTCTCCCTCTGTCTCTATAACTCTCCCTTTCAGTCCATCAATCAATCAACCTTAAAGAAAAATAGCAAGAAACTTAGACATTTAGAATTCTTCCTTTCCACACTTGCTTTCAGAGTTAGATTTGAGTCCCTTCAGTTAATTTTCCCATGAATACCCTGGGCCAGATTTTCAACCTTTTCTTTGACTTAGTAAGATGTCAAAATGCGAGCACACTGTCATCTTGTATGCCAGTGTTTGGAGCAAGAGTTCTTGATTTGCTTTGCAAGCACAGCGCCATGCAGCCTTTTCCTAACAAGCTTCCAGAAGCAGATCTCTGAGAAAAGCAGGTACTTCATCGCCTCTCTTGTTTACTTGTGACGTGTGGTTTAGACCAGTTCAGCTCCTGTCAGGATGTGTGTAGGTTTCTAAGTGTTATTTTGCTGAGCGAAGCTGCTGAGCGCAGGAAGGCTGGGGGCAGGGAGGGAGTGTCCTGAGGTGGACTGGGGGCTCTGGGAGCTTTCTAGGGCTCCTTCCCAAAAATGGTTTGCTGGCTCAGTGCCAAGTGTGTATAGACACACATGAGGCTGGATGATTTTTATGTTAATATCATTAGCAAGTGTTTCTGAGATTTTACCATCTGTAGCTCCCATTCGTTACATGACTATACATTTTGGCTGGAGTTATAAGAAGGATTTGAGCTGGGTGAAAAAAAAATGGTTGCCCTAGCATCTTGCTGAAGACATCTTTAATTATGAAAATCAAATGATAAGAAAATTTCATCATGTATGTGGTCCCTGTTTTCTCCCATAATTTTTTGGGGGGGCCTAATGAATGAATGAGTATTTTTACAAAATTTAATATTTTATTTGAAAAAATAGATTAAGAAAGAAGAAAAGAGAGAGAGAAAGATTGATCTGCCCTCTGCTGGTTCACTCCCCAAGCTGTTGCGTCCAGCCTGCGCAGAGCCAGCCTGAAGCCAGGAGCCTGGAGCGCTACCCATGTCTCCTGTGCAGCTGTAAGGGCCTGAGCACGTGGGCGTCCCTCTGCTTTCTCAGGGTCATTAACAAGGAGCCGTGCAGAAGGTGAAGTAGACGGGATTCGAACCATATGGGATTCCAGCATTGTGCATGGCAGCCTGACCGGCTGTCCCAAAACCCTGACCCCATGCATGAATATGAAAAGCAAGCAAACCATTACATAGTTAACTACAACTAGACACATGTAATAACTTGGTAAAGTAGGGCTCTTTTAACATCTGTAATTTGGAACTATTGTGTAAATTCTCAAGACACAAGACCTGGCTGCTCGTGTTAAACTCTCGGTGTCTCCCACTGCTGCAATAACAGAGTTTGTTCTTGATTTGCAGGTTTCCTCCTTCGTCACCTCTGAAACCATATCCAAAAAAGCCCCCATACCAAAGGGATGTTATTAAATTCCCAGAGTGGAATGATCCTCCACCGAGCACTTCACAAGAGAATATCCCAGTGAGGCCGCTCGTGATGGTGAGTGCCACGGCGCCGAGGGCTCTGGTGCAGCGTTCCTCTGCAGAAATACTGCAGCCAGCCTCGGGCCTGCGCACCCCTGGGGGCCAGGAGCAAGGGAGCATGGGCTGTTGCACTCTCTCTCTTGCCTGTTACGTTCCTACTGAGTAAATGGCAGCTGTTTTCGTATGTTCTGTCAGAGCTCTCTTTCTCCGCCATTTATTCCTCTCCCCCTTGCCTCTTTCTGCTAAACTTTTGTTTTTTTTTTTAAATGTGCATTGACAGTTGAAAATGAGATTGAAGATTAGACTATAGAGTATTGCGAAATGACTCACCCCACACACCATATGAACAAAAACATGTTTTTCCAGTCTTGAGAAAACCTCAGCTCCTGGGAGAATGGACTACCTCTTTTTTTTTTTTTTTTTTTGCATACCTTTTCTGTGAAATATCTGCAGTAGAAGACTACTGAGACTGAGATAAAGTGGAAAATGAAAATGTGGAGACAAGCTTTATGAGACAATTTTAAAGAATTGGAGTAACACCGAGGTTCCAAATTAATCTGGATTCCTAAGACTAGATGTCCAAAACACAGAGGAGGAGAGACAGAGGAAGATCTTCCATCTCATGGTTCACTCCCCAAGTGGCCACAACGGTTGGAGCTGAGCCAGAAGCTCTTCCGGGTCTCCCACGCAGCTGCAGGGTCCCAAGGCTTGGGGCAGTCCTGGACTGCTTTCCCAGGCAACAAGCAGGGAGTTGGATGGGAAGAGGTGCTGCTGGGACTAGAACCGGCGCCCATATAGGATCCCGGCGCATGCAAGGCAAAGACTTTAACCACTATGCTATTGCACCAAGCCCCTTATTTTGGTATTTTAAACACCTCTTATGAAATGTCAAACTCCACCCCTGCTCCAAAATCTTAGCTTTTGATTCTTCCCTGTCTGTATCTATTTCGTACCTGTTTTCTCTTTTCTCCTACTTTCAAGGTAGATGAAGTGGTAGAGATTTGTATTCCCTGCTTGTTAGGTGTGTTTCTTCCAAAACACTTGCTGCTGCTCCTTCGGCAGTGTGCAAAGGAACAGTGGCCGAGCAGGGTCTGTTATCCCAGTGCAATCTGCTGTTTGCAGAAGGATGAGGTTAATAACGGATGAATAAATGGATCATATTCCTTACAGAACTGAAGCCCAACGTTGGTGTCTCTGATGTGACTTTCTGTCCCTGCTTTCAGTTTGTTTATTGTTTTCTGTTTGTTTTTATTTTGCTTTTGTCCTAGCTTCTGTGTTGCCTAACCATTTTTTAAAACAAAAATAAATTAAAATAGACAAATGCAATTCTTTTGTGTTTGCTGATGAGCCGGTATAACCTGATAAGTAGGATTGTGGGCTCCGGGGCCAAATTGCTGGTTTTGAACCTTGGGTTCTCCAGTTGCTTGCTGTTTGAGCTTCTTTCTCTGTGTCTGAGTTTTCATACTGGTGATACTGGAATGCTCATGGTGCTAGTTGAGGTAGGGTTGCCCCAGGAGTCAAGTGATTTCATCCGTATGAAAGGCTTAGCATAGTGCCTGCTATACAAGTTCTCGCTGATATTAAGGACTGTTGGTAGTGTTTATTTCATAGAGTTTTGGGCAAAGAAAGAAGAAAATGAGTCACTTGTCATGTAGAGAGAGCTATTGTTATTTTTTTCCTTGTGTACCTTTTTTCTTTCTTTTTTTTTTTTTTTAAGATTTATGTTATTTTTATTTGGAAGACAGAGGTACAGAGACCGAGAGAGGAGATTTTCCATATGCTGGTTCATTCCCCAAAGAGTTGCAACAGCTATAACTGAGATAATCAGCAGCCAGGAGCTTCTTCAGGATCTCCCTTGTGGGTACAGGGGTCCAAGGACTTGAGCCATCCGCAGCTGCCTTTCCAGGTCATAAGCAGGGAGGTGGATGGGAAGTTTAGCAGCAAGGTATGAACTGGCATCCATATGCGATGCTGGTGCTATAGGTGAAAGCTTAGCATGGTGCTTTGAAACATGCACATGTAAAAAATTATTTATTTTTATTGGAAAGTCTCAGAGAGGAAGATCTTCTGCCCACTGATTCACTCCCCAAGTGGCTTCAACGGCCAGAGCTGAGCCAATCCAAAGCCAGGAGCCTCTTCCAGGTCTCCCACGTGGGTGCAGGGTTCCAAGACCTTGGGCCATCCTCACTGCTTTCCCAGGCCACAAGCAGGGAGCTGGTTGCGAAGTCTGGCCACCAGGAAATGAACCAGCACCCATATGGGATCCTGGTGGGTGCAAGTCCAGGATATCCACTAGGCTACTGAACCGGGCCTGAAACATGCACATTTTTATTTTATTTTCTTTAGTCTATGCTTTAGTCTACTGCATTAGCATTTTTCTATGCTTTAGTCTACTGCCTAGAGTTCCGGCTGTTTCACGCTCTGGTTGATGACATGAACCATGAGAGAATGAGGAGTGTGTGTGTGTGGTCAAGCTGGCTCATTTTGGCATCTGGGATGCTGGAGGTAGAATCGAAAGGGGAAATGAATATAATAATCCCAGAAGCTGGGGTATCATCTCTGAAGCTACCGAGCATAGAGACCAGCGAGAGCATCCTGAGTGGGACCTGAACTCATTACAAGATTACATAGCAAGAATTTCTTCCTCTACCACTCACTTTCTTTTTTTTTCTTTTTATTTACTTATTTATTATTATTATTATTTTATAATACTGTTCCATAGATTCCTGGGATTTCCCATATCCCCCTCCAATTTCCTCGCCCCCCAACCTAGTTCCTCTATATCATTACTAAAGTATAGTTCTTCATACACAGTCATATGTCCATCATTGCGGGCATGGACAATGGCAGAGTCCAGCATCCTATTGTCAAGATACAGTAAACAGTTTCATTGTAAGTCCATCTTTGTCTGGAAATAGAGATGCATACGACATTGTATCCTCATATCTAGATATGTTAGTCTCCATTTCACAGCTACTGTACATCCCCTTAAATGAAAAGTCACAGTACAAAATCAACAATAGGAAGAAAAATAGAAATTTACAATGCCATGAAGTTAAACAACATGTTACTAGATATGAGAGTCTCCATTACACAGCTACTACACATCTCCTTAAATGAAAAGCCACAAAACAAAGTCAGCAACAGGAAAAAAAAGAAATTAACAACACCGTGAAGTTAAATAGCGTGCTACTGAATGACTAATGTGTCGCTGAAAAAATTAAAATGAAAATCAAGAACCTTCTTGAAGAAAATGAGGCTACTGTATAATATGAGTCATTGAATAATTTAATCAGAAGAAAGTGTTTTGAAGAGATGAAACTAACAAAAACAAAAACATCAAAATCCATGAGATACAGCTTCCGCTGGTTTTTGTTGGTTGAAATATGTCTCTTCTAGACATCAAATAGATGGGGTTTTTTTTAAAGATTTATTTATTATTATTTTTTTTTATTGGAAAGGCGGATATACAGAGAGGAGAGACAGAGAGGAAGATCTTCCGTCCAATGATTCACTCCCCAAGTGCGCACAAGGGCTGATACTATGCCGATCTGAAGCCAGGAGCCTCTTCCGGGTCTCCCACGCAGGTGCAGGGTCCCAAAGCCTTGGCCGTCCTCGACTGCCTTCCCGGGCCACAGGCAGGGAGCTGGAAGGGAAGCGGGGCTGCCGGGATAGAACCAGCGCCCATATGGGATCCCGGGTGTGTAAGGCAAGGACCTTAATCACTTGCGCTGCCGGGCCAGATTTTGTTTTTTAATCCAGTCTAATAATCTACAACATTTGATTGATGAGTTTAAGCCATTTACATTCAAGGTTAATATGAATGGGTGGTAATTTGGTCCTGTCATTTTATTGGGATGTTCTTGCCATTTGCCTTTGGTTTTGTTTGGTGCTATTTCTCTTCTCTGTCAATAGAATCTCTTGAAGTATCATTTGTAGAGCAAGTTTGGAAGAGGCAAATTCTTTTAACTTCAGTTTACTGTGGAAGAATTTTATTTCATTTTCAAAGACGAAAGAAAGCTTTGCTGGATATGTTATCCTAGGCTGACAATTTTTTTCTTTTAGAATCTGGAATATGTTACTCCATTCTCTTCTTGCCTATAGAGTTTCCTATGAGAGGTCTCCTGTGAGTTTAATTGGCGTTTCTTTATATGTCAGTTGATTTTTTTTCACGTGCATATTTAAGGATCTTTTCCTTATGTTCGATTGAAGAGAGCTTGATGATCATGTGTTGTGGTGAAGATCACTTTTGATCAAGCCTGTTGGGAGTTCTGTGCCCCTTCTGGATGTTGTTTTTCAATTCTTTGTATAGATTTGGGAAATGTTCCTTTATTATTTTATTAAATACATTTTTAAACCCAGTTTCTCTTTCTGCACCTTCCGGGACTCCCGTAACTCATATATTTGGCCTCTTAATAGTTTTTTCAATTCTTGAATACTTTTTTTGGCCTGATCCAGCTCTGCTTCCAGCTTTTTGTTTGCTTCCTCCTGATGACAGGAAATATCTTCCAATTCTGAGATTCTTTCTTCTGCTTGCTTCATTCTATTTTGGAGACTCCACCATAGTTTTAATTTGCTCTACTGTGTTCTTAATTTCTGATACATCAGCCTTGATTTGCTTTATTGCTGCTATTTCTTGTGTTAGATATTCCTTAAATTCTTTGAACTCTTGTATGTGCTTCTCATTGTTGATGAGAAGCTTTATAATGAGTTTCCTGAATTCTGTGTCTCTGATTTCTCGATGTCTTCCTCAGTGAACTCTGAGGTTGGCATTGGGTTTTGCTCCTTTGCAAGGGAGTCTTCAATAATAATCATTTTGCCTTTGTGTCTTCTTTTGCTCTTGATCATTGCACTTCTAGTTATCAGATTCTTCTCCTTGGGGCACATTTCTAAGCTGTGTTACCCACAGGTCTACAGTTTGGTTTTACTTATTCCCATTGGTACACAGCTCTTTGCTTGCAGCCACTTGTGCTGCTCCCTCCAGCAAGTTCCAGGTCTGGGTTCTTATGTTAGTTTTTCACCATGTTCTTTGTGGCCCCAGCTCCTGGCTTACCAGTCTCCACTCCTGTGATATCGTGCTGAAGTTGCATTGTTGTTTCTGCAAGCTTGCTCCCACTTCCGTTTGGAGCAGGTCCCAGGATTAGGGAGACACAGGTGTCCTATATAGCTAGGTTGTTGGTGGTACTGATCTTGGCGGAACCTGTTGAATGTTAGATTTGGGTGCCACATGGAACTATTTTGATCTGTACAATGCCAGAGTTGGTATTATTTGCCTGTGGGACCAGTACAATTCACTGAACTCGGTGAGTTCTTGCTAGCTCAGCACATGTACAGTTCACTGTTGTGTTCTGTAGTCCTAAACTTTTGCCACACCGTACAAAATGGCAACTTACTAGAGTTCTTGATCTTCTGGCTGTCAAGTCTGAGGGCTACCCATACTTGTGTTGGGTGGAACCTGTAGGATGCCTAATTGTTGCAGTTCACTGAGTCAAAAATGAGATCACTCCCAGCTCAGTTTATGTTCAGTCCTTTCCCTTGCCTTTGCCTCCTTAAGCAAAATGGCACCCAATTCGGCTCTAGGGGGCTGACTAGGCTGTGAAATTCACCCTGTTCTCGCACTGCCCATCTGGGATCTGCTGCTTTGCTTCTGCTCCTGGTCAAATCAAAGACCAGCAGGACAGATGGTTCTTTGGGTTCACCTCCCAAGTTCCCAGTGGAAATCCCTTCCCACCTGGTTGCTTGTGGAGTTCTGGCTGCTGGTGGAGTTCAGATCGCCATTAGCTGGATGCTGCTGGGGTATCAGTCACTGCAACACCACACCATTGTTTTTGCTGCTTTCCTGTGTCTGTCAGTCTCCAGGTACCCCTCTGCTGTTGCTCTCTCCTCTCCTATTTCCTGGAATGTGTCCTCTCTGCTTCATCCTGATTAAATGCTTTTCCATCCATTTAAATGTGTCCTTACCCTATTCCGCCATCTTGATTCCCAAACATGCACATTTTTAAAATGAGACCATGTAAGGTTCTTTTGAAACACAATGTACTATGTCCATTTTTTGATGCTACTAAACAGTTGGCATAATTTTTAGTATCTATATCATGTCTAATGTAAAAGTGATCTTTTTTACATTTTTACATTTTAGTCGTTTGCTGTTAAATATAAGTAGTGATTTCAGTTTTCAATTTGTAAACATTGTAGTAACTAATACCTTTCCATGTAAATATTTAAATAACATATTTTAGAATAAATTTTGGAAGTGAATTTGCTAGGCAAATGTACTAATTTATATGTCTGGCTTCAAAAAGAAATACCTGGGGCTGGCCTAATAGCTGAACTGGCTAATCTTGTACCTGCAATTAGGAACAAGTCATAAGGGCACACTATGTGTCCTGGTTGCTCTGCTTCCCTTCCCTGGTTGATCCAGCTCCCTGCTTGTGGCCTGGGAGAGCAGTCGAGGATGGCCCAAAGCCTTGGGACCCTGCACCCACATGGAGGACACGAATGAGGCTTCAGGCTTTTGCCTGCCGATTGGCTCAGCTCCAACTGTTGCGAATATTTGGGAAGTGAACCAGTAGATGGAAGATCTTTCTATTTCTTCTCTCTGTAAATCTGTCTTTCCAGTAAAAGTAAATCAATCTCAAAAGCAAGCAGACTTATTTTAGATGCTTAGTTTTTCACGTATCCATGTGGTCCATGAATTTCTTCTGCAATCAATATTTCGTCAAAAAACAAGTGCCTGAGATCTGGGCCTTGCTTTTCAACACTGTACTTATTTGATATTTGCTTGTGAAAAAGTAGCTCCTGAAAGCACTGCATGTTAAATAGTCAATTTGGACATTTTAGTGGGATATTCCTCCACTTAATTTTGATTAAGAAAACTCTGGTTCAGTGCCACTTCACTGATTAGTTGGAACTCCCACTGGGAAAATTCCACTTAGCTTCATGCATATTACCATAGCTCTTTCATAACTCATGAATATTCATTTGTAATATGACCCAATCTTTATGAGCCGTTCTTTCCTTCTCTGAGATATATGTGAAGAAAATGAGTATTCCCCAATTACTGTAAATCAAATTATAAATAGACAAAGATGTTTCCCAGGAAATTAAGCCTCTTTGTATTGAAGTATGTTTTCCCTCTTTCTGTCCCTTCTCTTTCCCTTCCCTCCTCCCCGCTTCCCGCTAGAATTCTGAGATGTGGTACAAACGTCACAGCATCGCCATTGGAGAGGTGCCAGCCTGCCGACTGGTGCACCGCAGACAGCTGACCGAGGCCAATGTGGAGGAGATCTGGAAGTCAATGACACTGTCCTAGTATGTATCTTGGCGTTGGTCAGCAGCTTAGTGATTTTTTTTGTCTTTTTTGCTTTCTCATTACTCTGTAACAATGTAAGGATCCCAACTTTGCCTTGTTTACCGTTGTGTTGCTTAGACAGACTAGTTCTACTGAATTCTGGGGTTCTAATTGCCTGTTATATAATAGTTAAAACTTCTTAAACTTTCTCAAATTTTAAACCTCGTGCAATTCATACTGGAAAAATTGATCTCCTAAAAAATTCATGTGGCACCAGTATAATTAAAGAACATGGTATTAGCAGCAAAAACAGCTTTTCTTACTGGAATGTACTGGTAGCCATTTCCCATCATTAGAAAAGCTACTGTTTGGTTTTTTAAATAGTAAATTTAATTATGCACTTAATTTACTAAGGTCATTAAGACTATGAATATAACAAATGAAAAAGCCGTGTTATCTTAAAAAAAGATAAAACTAAACATAATTTTCTTGGTCTTCATGGCGTCATGTCATGCAAGTCAGAGAAGCAGCTTACAAATGATGATAGGATATTTTTTCATGTATAACCGTAGCTTCATACAGATTGGTTGAAAATAATGTGTTTAAATAGTGTTCTTTGGCAGTTATTATTATTATTATTAAGTGAATAGTGAAACTGTAGCATAATATTGATTTAGTATTTTACCTTCTCAGTTTACGGAAAATCCTTGGTCTCGACTCCTTGGAAGACATTTTAGACATCAAGCTCGTCAACGCCAAGTTCATCATCCATAACGTGTACAGCGTCAGCAAGCAGGGAGTCGTCGTCCTCGACGACAAGTCAAGTGAGTGCCTGAACGCCACAGCATGCGTCAGCTGCCGTGGGACCTGTCCCTTCATGCTGAATGAGTTACCCCATCTCCTGAAGGAATCCTTTTTTCTCTTTCTGATGCCTCTGTGGTGAGTTGTTTGCCTTAAGAACACGTCATAGGAAGGTGGATGTCCAGGGATGACGGTCTCAGTAACATGCCCCCTGAGGTTAGCTAGGGCCAGGGAAGGGTCTGAGCAGTGAGTGTGCGTCTTACTGACCCAGAGTCTGGAGCAGTTTTCAGGTGCACCACAGTTAAACTAACTTTTCACTGTTGAAATGTAGCTTTTCAGTTATATCATGTCTTGTGTCAGGTTTCCTGAGATAATCTTGGTTCATGCTGTTTCTTTTTTTTTTTTTATTAAGATTTATTTTTATTATTTATTTTTATTGGAAAGGCGGATATACAGAGAGGAGAGACAGAGAAGAAAATCTTCCGTCCGATGATTCACTCCCCAAGTGACCACAATGGGCCGATACTATGCCGATCCGAAGCCAGGAGCCTCTTCCGGGTCTCCCACGCGGGTGCAGGGTCCCAAAGCTTTGGGCCATCCTCGACTGCTTTCCCGGGCCACAGGCAGGGAGCTGGAAGGGAAGCGGGGCTGCCGGGATTAGAACCGGTGCCCATATGGGATCCCGGGCGTGCAAGGCGAGGACCTTAAACCACTTTCACCACCGCGCCGGGCCCCATGCTGTTTCATTTTAAGATGTGTGCTCTTTTAAGTGTTGAAAGTCCTTTAATTTTGCATGTCTTTTTCTGGGACATCAGCTTTTGAATTAGGGGCAAAGACGTTTAGCAGTCACCTACCCTGAGTTTTTGTAAATACAATTTTAAAAGATTTATTTATTTAAAAGACAGAGTTCCTGAGAAACAGAAAGAAAAAACTCTTCATTCACTGCTTCACTTTCCAAATGGCTGCAGCAGCTTTGAGTAGGCCACAGTTTTGAACAAAAATTTTTTTAAAAGTTCCTATTTATGGGCCAGGCTGAAGCCAGGAGCAAGGAACTTCATGCATGTCTCCCATGCATGTGGGTGACAAGGGACCAAAAACAATTTTTAACAGGCACAAAAAATTCTGCATATTTATGGAATGCTATGTAATATTTCATTCCAGGCATATGTTTTGTTAATATAACTTTTGATTTGAGAAAATAGTGATATTTTCAGTGGACCACAATCCTTCGTATAAACTTCCCTTCGTATGGGTAAATATTGGACTAGAATTGGATGAATTTCTTCATCCTTTAATTCAATGTTTTTTTAACTCAAATTCTTTGTTTCAGTTTTTATTTTTGATCATGTTTACATAGTTTATCAGGATGGGAAGGATCGAGGGTTAGTGGAAAGTGGGTGAGACCATTTTGTTTCCAAATTTTCAATTTCTTCTTCCTGTATCTGGGGGAAGTTAGGAGAGAAGGGGAGAAGCCAGGCAACCCAGGTCCCACCAGATACCCACCCCTGGACACACAGACCTGGTACTCATCATGCAGGCAGGCCTAAGACCCAGGCCAGGCGACCTGGGTCCCCTGGGACTCCTGCCCCAGGGCTCAAGGATCTGGCATCCACTGCACAGGTGGGCCTAAGGACCCAGGCCAGGTGAGCTGGGCCCCTTGGGACTCCTGCCCCAGGGCACATGGATCTGGCATCTTCTGCACAGGTGGGCCAGGCCCCATGGAACCCTCAGATCCTCCTCCCCTCGCCTGCTCCTCCCCAGCTCTGGGACAAATGGACCTGGCACTCACTCTGGTTCTCATGAGCACCAGTGGGTGCTGAAGCCTAGCCCAGTCTGGCACAACCCAGACCCAGTCCACACCAGTGCTGAGGAACACTGCAGTCATGTCCAGCATAGATCGCCATCCCTATTCAGTCTCTCATGCTATGCAGAAGGAACCATGACCCAGTCCCTTAACTCCCCAACCTGGCCTGTTCCCAGCCACAGTTCTTGTGCATGCCAGAGGTTGCTATGACCCAGCGTGGCGTAGCCCATCCCCCATCTTGGCCTTTGCCATCAGAAGCTGCAGCCTGGCTTGTTCTGACCCACCCGCAGCCACAACTCTTGCTGGTGGGTGCTGCAGTCTAGTGCTGCCCTGTCTGCTCCCCTCCCTGGCTCATGCACACCACTATGAAGTGAGTGATAGCCTTGTCTGGCATGATCTGCACTCCAGCCTGGCTGTTGCACATGCCAGTGAGCTAAGGTTGTCTCAGCCGTACCCAGGGTGCCCCCTCCAGAACTAACCCACACATTTGCCAATCTGGACTCTTCCCTCCCACCTCCCCACCTTGCCTTTGGGACTGAAAATTGTGCGTGCGCTCAGGCCTGCTCTGGCAGCCCCCAGTGCCGAGTCCCAGACTCCAGATGTCATGGAAGGTGGAATAATGTATTCTTATGATACCAGCTATTTTTGTGATTCAAATTTCTAGAGTTCTGTGGAATTAAACATCTCCCCTTTTGTCTCATTTTCCTGCAGAAGAACTTCCTCATTGGGTACTGTCAGCTATGAAGTGCCTGGCAAATTGTAAGTACTAATTATGTGCTAATGTTATGCAATTAACAGATTCTAATACCTTGCGTTAGAAAATGTGCTCAATAGCCTGAACATGGACTTGACACCTGGGAGGGCAGCAGCTCATTGCTTCGAGACTATTGGGCTGCTAGTCATGGATTTGTGCCTTAGTGAGAGGGCTGAGGTACTGAACAATGCTAGTGCTTCCACTGTCCAGAAAGTGAAGTGATACCACAGCTAAACTGCATTCATTACGAGAGGCTGCTAATCGTACATGTAATGTAACAGATAGCTGTCTGTTTAAAATATACAGGTGTTCGTGCCTGGAACTTAAATTTTGATTTCTAAAGTGTATGCAAGTAAGGATACTTTGAAAAGTTTTTGGAAAAATGGAATTGAAAGTTCTTGGGAAAGTTGATGTGGATAGAGTGGATGATGGTGCTGCCTGCTGGTACTGAGGTTCCAATAGCTGGATTCCTACCGGCCACAGAGGGGAGCCACACGAGGTCCTGGCTGCGAGCTTCAGCCCCATCCTAGCTGTTGGTGGTATCTGGGAGTAACCCAGGGGGTGGGAGCTCATTCTCTCTCTCTCTCTCTAATGATATGAATTATTTGGGTTTAAAAATTGTTTTGAGTTCCTTCATAGATGTCTTCATAACACTTCTTTTCTAATGAGCTGTTTGAAGAACTTTTATATGGATGTATTTCAGTTTTTTTGCACCAACATAAACTTGTCTTTTATTTCTATTACTTACACTTTCCATGAAGATTTTGAGATAGTTGTATTATTAAGCTCTCGTGGGGTGACTCACTCTGTTTCCCAGTGATGGGGACTGGGCTGAACCGAAGCCCCGAGCCAGAAACTCAGCCCAGGACTCCTGTGCGGTTAGGGACCTGACCTTGAACTGTCACTACTGCCGCTAGGGTCCGCGTCACAGGAAGCCAGAGTCAGTAGCTGGGGCTCGCTGCGCTGCTGTGGACTGTGGATGCCTCAGCCAATAGGCTGGATGCTCACCTCCATGAAGTGGTGTCTAACCAGTAGGCTGGACTCTTCACCTCTGTGAAGTGGTGTCTGACCAGTAGGCTGGATGCTCACCTCAATGAAGTGGTGTCTGACCAGTAGACTGAATGCTCACCTCCGTGAAGTGGTGTCTGACCAGTAGGCTGGATGCTCACCTCCGTGAGTCCATGTTTAAATGGGAGAGAAATGTTCTGGGAAGCTGATGTGGCCCACTCACAGGGATGGTTTTGCGTGAGCAGCACCTGCACGTGTAGAACCAAGGACTGTTGCAGTAATTTGGGTCACAGTCCTGATGAGGATTTTCCTGAACCTACACCATCTTGCATAGGCACATGATAGCCATTTCATTCATAAAAACAGAAAGCAAAGAGTTACTACAGTCATTCACTACCACTCGTTTTTCTGCGGATTATCAGGATGCTTAACTCAACAAATGGGTTCTAATGGTTAGCAGGTGTTTTTGTGAGAAGACTTCTGGTTCTTCCTGCCAACTGGTCCTGGTATTTCAGTCTCAGTGCTTTATTCTCTGTGCTCATTCATTTGAAGTAAATTCCATCTAAATGATTTCTTTGGCCAGATTTGACAGTGATGAGATAGGAGGTGTAAATGGCAAGTTAAATTACCCATTTCTGAACTCTTACCAATCCAGGATATGAAAGTTGATCAGCTGGGAATGAGTGAAAATTGTGGAATAAATCTAGACTATAATATGCTATAAAGTATATACTATGATATATTGATGTTGTTGAACTTCCTGTGATGACAGAAGTGAAGTGTGAAGAGTATGGTTCTTCCCTCAAACTTGACGTACATGTGAAATCATACATTTTTCAATGAAAGGTTAGGATAACTGGAATCATTGGTATACAGGCAATATCTTCACACGGGGGAGGCAGTGTTGTACCATGAGGAGGTATTGGAAGGTGGGAATGTTTCTTACATACAATGCTTAGGAATCACTGGTATAACCTTAGAGATATTTATACACCAAAGGAAAGAAATGGTAGGCAGAGGCCAAGGGCAACCTTATGCATAGTTTTATAAAATAACTATTTTTTCCAAATTCTTGCTGTATCTTAGGATTTCCTTGGAGTTTTTCAGAGTCATGAGTTTTTCTTGGTCCGTCTTAGCATTAGTGAATCCAGATCCCCACGACAGTTGTCTGCCAGGCACAGAAGCAGGCACTGAGTACATGATCTTTTCAGGTCTGTTTCTTGTATTTTTGCTCAGTTCTGCTTTGTAGTTCCACCTCTTTTGGATCTTGGAGATCCATCTCTTTGGGTTCCTTGGAGTGCATACACATCTGTGTCTTGCTTGTTGCCCGAGGCCTTGTTGCCCACGTGGGAGGCATAGATGGAGTTCCCAGCTTCTGCCTGCCCCAGATCTGACTTCTGCAGATGTTTGGCGAGTGATCCAGATGCAAGCTGTGTCCCAGGAAAATTTCTTCCTTTCAATTCCTCTGCTTTTAAAATCAATCAGTCAATTTATCAATCAGTCAGTCTTTAAACTTTATTCCCTTTCTTCAGCTGCAGTGACCCTGTAGGAAGAATTTCTGTATGATGTGTCTTTGGCTGTTTCTTTGGTCTCCTGGGGTAGGGATCTGTCTGGCTAGAATTGCTAGTGTGGCTGCACTCCTTTCTGCCATGTTGTCGTGGAAGGAGACATGGATGACTGAACTGTTCTTGGGACCACTTGCCGTTTTCCTTGTGGCATAGATAACTCACTCAGTCTATCAACTTAGCAATGTAAATGTGGGATCTGTGTTTTAATTTTGGGAGCATTTGCTCTCTACTCTGTGGCGAGTCTATCTCCTTCCTTCCTGCCTTTCTTCCCTCTTTCTTTCCTTCCTTCCTTCCTTCTTTCGTTTGTTCCTTCCTTTCTTTGCTTTGTTTCAAAGGCCTAGTTACAGAGACAACGATTAAGAGGTCTTCCATCCATTGATTTAGTCCCCAAATGATTGCCACAACCAGGGCTGGGTCAGGCTGAAGCTCTGAGCCTGGAACTCCATCTGGTTCCCCATGTAGTTAGCATGGGCCTGAATGCTTGGGTCATCTTCTGCTGTCTCTCCAGATGTGATCATCAGGCATTTGGATTGGAACCAGAGTAGCTAGGAATCAAACTGCCACAGTGTTGGTGCCAGCAAGCATTTGTTGCCCTTCTGTTTCTGGATTATAGCTGAGTCCAGGTTAATTCAGGGTTTCCGAGGTTGCTCCCACTGTTTAGTATGATTATACTTGATAAGCTTTTGATGTTTTATTGAGGATCAAATGGAAAGTCTTTATCAGAATGCATTAACAAGACAAACTGTAAAATACCTTCAAGAATATCTTTTTTTTTTAAGATTTATTTCTTTTTATTACAAAGTCAGATATGCAGAGAGGAGGAGAGACAGAGAGGAAGGTCTTCCGTCCGATGATTCACTCCCCAAGTGAGCCGCAATGGCCGGTGCTGCGCCGATCCGAAGCCAGGATCCAGGAACTTCATTCCAGGTCTCCCACGTGGGTGCAGGGTCCCAAAGCTTTGGGCTGTCCTCGACTGCTTTCCCAGGCCACAGGCAGGAAGCTGGATGGGAAGTGGAGCTGCCGGGATTAGAACCGGCACGTATATGGGATCCCGGGCGTTAAAGGCGAGGACTTTAGCCACTAGGCCACGCTGCCGGGCCCAAGAATATCTTTTAAAGATTAGTTTGAGTTTTTATAAATCTGGAATAGATGGAGGCAAAAACTGATTATTTCCTTCAATTCTGACTATATGACTTTGTAACACAGCAATAAGGAAATAATTAAAATATGGCTTATCATTACACATGTTGTTAATCTATTCAACTTTAGAAAAGTTATTTAAACTTTTTGTTTGTTTGAGATACAGTGAAAGGAAGAGGGAGATAGGCAGAGCACAGAAAGGGAGAGAGCAAGCAGCTCCATCTGTGGGCTCCTTTCTCACATGGCTGCAGTGACTAGAATGGAGCGGGACGGGATGGCATTTGTCTGGGACCCAGGATTTCAATCCAGGTGTTGCTGACTGTGTTGGCTGGTAGGGACCCAAGTGTTTCAGTCATCACTGCTCCCCTCCATGGTCTGCATTAACGAGAAGTTGACAAGGACACAGCTGTCCTAACCAGTGTCTTAACTAGTAGGCCAAAGACCCATCTCCTGGGTCAGCCTTCTTTACTAAGATTAGGAACATACAGACTATTTTAAAGAGAGCTATTCTTTTTTTTTTTTATAAAGATTTATTTTTATTATTATTATTTTTTTTATTGGAAAGGCGGATATACAGAGAGGAGAGACAGAGAGGAAGATCCTCCGTCCGATGATTCACTCCCCAAGCGAGTGCAACGGCCGATGCTATGCCGGTCCGAAGCCAGGAGCCTCTTTAGGGTCTCCCATGCGGGTGCAGGGTCCCAAAGCTTTGGGCCGTCTTTGACTGCTTTCCCGGGCCACAGGCAGGGAGCTGGATGGGAAGCAGGGCTGCCGGGATCAGAACCAGCGCCCATATGGGATCCCAGGCGTGCAAGGCGAGGACCTTAACCACTTGCGCCACTGCACTGGGCCTCCAAGAGAGCTATTCTTAACATGTATTAAAAGTGACTTTTGAAAGGACAAAAGATAGATTGCTTTCAAAATGGAAACTGGTGATTTTCATCATTGTTTTAGTGGAAAGCTCAATTTTGACATGCAGTGTATCATATGAGCAAAATGTATGCTGCCTCCCCGTGGCACCTTTCTGTGTGCCTTGAGTGTCTGAGTGCTTTGAATATCTGTACACACCACACATATGCACAAAGGCTCATACCTAGAGATAATTGTTCCACTAATGGTTCTCTTTCTCTTTTTAAAACAGGGCCCAACTGTTCAGATTTGAAACAGCCCATGTACTTGGGATTTGAAAAGGATGTATTTAAAACCATAGCAGATTACTATGGTCACTTGAAGGAGCCTTTACTCACATTTCATCTTTTTGATGCTTTTGTCAACGTATTAGGTAAGTTGAGATATAATGAACAAGTCTCTGTGTTATTGATGTTGAATCGTTGCATTTTTCATTATCTCGACGCTCTTGTTAGCTGCAGCTTACAGAATTTTTACAATAAAACTAGGATGCGTGGCATAGCTGGAGCTCTGCTCTAGAGAGTAAAAGAAAATGGTTAGGTTCTATTATGAACCTCAAAGTAAGGATTAGTAGGTTTTTTTCTTTAAAAATAATATATAGCATGTCGCTATTATACAAAAGCGTATGTCTTTGCTGGCAAAGAAGAATATAAATGTGGTGTTTGCTTTTCTTGACTGAATCCATTACTCTGAGTATGACTTTATGAATAGTCAAGTGAGGGGGGTATATTTTCATTTAGAAATCGAATTTCTTTTTATAGAAGAAGAGGTTTGTGGAGGATTATTACCTGAGACATGTAAAATAAATATAATAATTTTTCATTCCCTAAAACTTTTTGGTATTCTGCAAGTGAGTTTGTACTTTAGAATTTACACTGTGAAAGAAACAAATTTACACTGAGAAAAGAAACAGATGTTCTTGTTATAGGTCTTTCTAATGTTGTTCTTTTCTTCTTGGAAATCAGACCTTCAGTGTTTATTAAGTGTTATTGTGTTCTTACCAAAGTGTTTGCTTCAAAGGTCAAGATACAGTGTGGGTTTCTTACTTGTTTTGTAAATTTGTGGGAATTAGCATACTGTTTGTATTTTAGTAGGTAAGGATTAGTAAGTCTTTCTCCTTCCCTTCATGCTCCTGTTATTTCCCTTTGCGTCCCTTTTCTTCCTCCTTCCTATTTTGTCTTGGACAGTATGAATGATGCCATATTATAGCAGAAGATAAGAAACATGTAGAGAAGGTACCTGATCTCATAGCCAAATTCTTTGGATTTGAAGGCTTAACAGGTTCACTGCCAATGACAAGCAATATACACAGAGCTAAGACCTACAGGCATAACTCAGTATTTGTTTCTTTTATACATATTGGGTTAAGTATATGACCAATTTTTAAAAATTATTTATTTGAGAGGCAGAATTAGAGAGAAAGAAAGAGAGTTGGGAGGTGGGGTCTTCTATCTGCTAGACTATTCCCCAAATGGATGTAAGGGCTAATGTTGGGCAAGGGTGAAGCCAGGGGCCTGGAGCTTCTACAAATTCTCCCACAAGGGTGCAGTGGCCTAAGTGTTTGGGCCATCTTCTGCATTTCCAGGGGTGGCAGCTGGGAGCTGGATCAGTATTGCAACAGCTGGAACTAGAACTGGCCAACCTGCCACAGTGCTAGCCCCCTCATCCCCTTTTAAAGATTTATTTGTTTTTATTGGAAAGACTGATATACCGAGAAGAAGAGAGACAGAGAGGAAGATATTCTGTCCGATGGTTCACTCCCCCAAGTGGCCACAATGGCTGGAGCTGAGCTGATCCAAAGTCAGGAGCCAGGAGCTTCCTCCAGGTATCCCACACCGGTGCAGGGTCCCAAGGCTTTGGGCCATCCTCAGCTGCTTTCCCAGGCCACAAGCAGGGAGCTGGATGGGAAGCGGGGATGTCAGGATTAGAACCGGCGCCCTTATGGGATCCCGGCATGATCAAGGTGAGCACTTTAACTGTTACACTATCGTGCTGGGCCTGAGCCCCCTAACTTTTTTTTAGAGGCTGTAGATAGTCTTATGGGTAAGAAAAAGTGGTAAGAAAAAGAATTAGAATTTATGTTTTTGTTTGTTTCAGTTGGGAAGGCAGATTTACATAGAGGAGATACAAAGAGAAAGATTTTTAAAAATATTTATTTATTATTTATTAGAAAGTTGGATTTACAGAGAAGGAGAGACAGAAGGAAAGATTTTCCATCCCCTGGTTCACTATCCAAGTGGTCACAATGGTTGGAGCTGAGCCAATCTGAAGCCAGAGGCCAGGAGACTCCTGCAGGTCTCCCACTTGGGTGCAGGGTCCCTAGGCTTTGGACCAGTCTCTTCCTTCCCAGGCCACAAGCAGGGAGCTGGAAGGCAAGTGGAACAGCTGGGATACAAATGACACCTATACGGGCTCCTGGCGTATGCAAAGACGAGAACCTAAGCCACAAGAGAGGCAGTATTTATGTTTTTATCACAGAAAATCAAGGTCTTGGAATAGTTGGACATTGGTGTAAATGTGAAGCAACTTAAAAATTTGATATGGAATGACTATGCTATTTGACCTGAAGAAACAGAAGGATAAATATTTGAAGTTCATATGTGATGTAACTACCTACGACTGAAAGTGAAGATCTTGATAAACCATTGAAAAGGTTGTATCTCCATACAGCTAAACATGAAGGTCGAATTGAAGAGGGGGGCCCCTCTGCGTTTCACTGGGAGCGCGTGGTATGCTGATGGTGAAACAAGCAAGGGGCTGTCGCAAAGAGAGAATAAAGGGAAGTGTGAACAGTGGCAGGCTGCTTGCAGGGTTTGAATGAAAGCCGAGCCTCGGGTCTCTAAAGATCAGTGGAAATAAAACATCTGTTCATTGCAAAGCAGCAGAGAACTTTATTGAAGAAGCAGATGTTCAAGAAATGTGTAGTGTTAATTGTGAGGCCACAGTTGTTTATTCAGTGATGATGAAATGGCTGGTGTAGCTGTGAGTCAAGCTGATTGTGATGACACTGAGGGTGAAGATGATAATGTTAGCAATGCGGAAGCACTGCCTGTAGACAGCGCACTGATAACGTGTGATGGGCCTGTTGAAGATCTGTAGCAGTGTGTGCTCATATCAGAGCGAGGAGTTGCATCAGTTTATAAAATCAAAGATTTCTAACACAAAACTTTATTTTTATTGGAAAGGTGGATATACAGAGAGGAGGAGAGACAGAGAGAAAGCTCTTCCATCCGGTGGTCTACTCCCCAAGTGGCTGCAATGGCTGGAGCTGAGCCAATCCTAAGCCAGGAGCCTGGAGCCTCTTCCGGGTCTCCCACACGGGTGCAGGGTCCCAAAGCTTTAGGCCTTCCTCGACTGCTTTCCCAGGCCACAAGTACGGAGCTGAATGGGAAGTGGGGCTGCTGGGATTAGAACCAGTGCCCATATGGGATCCCAGTATGTGCAAGGTGAGGACTTTAACCACTACAGTATTGTGCCGGGCCCCACAAAACTGTTTTTAATGTGGCAAAGAACTCTGGAGGAGATATTATAGTGTTTATTTTAAAAATATTTAATTACCAAAATTTGTAGTTGTTTTCATTTCATTTGCAAGGTAAGAGATAGGCAGAGAGAGTGCTTGCATTCTGTAATTTACTCCCAAATGCCAACTGCAGCTAGCAGCGCTGGCTCAGTCTGAATCTCGTGTGGGCAGTGAGGACTTAAGCCTTTATGTGCGACCTTCTAGGGTGAGCATTAGGAAGCTGGATCGGAAGCAGCTAAGAGCGGAAGCCCAGACATCCTGCAATGGGATGCAAGCTTCCCAAGTGGCAACTTAACCGTCAATTATGGAGGGAACATTGTCTACAACATGCATCCTCATCCATGCAGGACCCACTTCCTAGCCCTTCAGTTGCTTCTGATGTTTCTTCTCAACTATGAAGTTGAAGTACAGGAGTAGCGTGTGGAAAATGACCTTTTAATCGAAGCTCAGTAAGGTGGGCAGAGACGGGAGGCTTGCCCCTGGCTGCTGCTCCTGTTTTAGCAGTGGTTCCTGGTGCTGTGGAGATGTTCTTGGGCTGCTTGGTGGTCCTAACACATTGTGTTTTCTCTGGATTGCTGGCGTACCTTCTTCATGTTGTGAAGTACTTTGTATGCATGAGTACAAGAAAAATATCGCCGTGCGGCTGCGCAGGAAGCCTCAGTGTCGGGGATGGTGGCGATGTCTGTGACAGGGCATCAGCGTAGTGGCTGAGCTCGTGATACTGCTGTGTGCACGGGCTTATGGTTCGTGCACAACTTTGTTAAAAATGTTGGTGCAAATTTCCGTCAGGCTGTGGGTATAAAGGGAGTATAAAGCAGAAGTGAATTTCAGATTTAGCCTTGAGCCCCATCCCCAAGATATGTCCTTATTATGTATATGTAAATATTTGCAAATCTGAAGAAGTCCAAAGTTGGAAACTCTTCTGGGCCCAAGCATTTTAGAGAAGGGACTCTCTGTATCAAGTGAATATGTTTGACGTGTCCTGCAGAGAAGACATTTTTACAAGGTTCTTGTAAAAATAGAAAGTGGAAACCTTTTAGGTTATAAAAGACCATAACTTGTTTATATGATTAGCAGGCCATATGATATAACAATCTTCTTAATGTCTGGGGAAAGGTAAATATTTAGATCTGTAAATTGAATTTCAGTAGGATTGACTTATCCTTGTAAACCTTTTGATTTTAATTAGAATTAGGGTGTTATTAGGTATTTAAAGTAATTCATTAGTATATTTTTTACAGAAGCTAAAAATTCTGCAGCACTCTCAGTGAAATGATTTTTAGCTTAGTTTATGAACTTGTTTTGAAATTTATTCCTCTGCTTCTGACATAGTTGGGCTTAACTCCAAAGCTGTGATCCCAAGAGCAGTTAATCATTATTAATCACGAAATAGGACATCCTGAAGTTCCTAGGGGGAAAAAATTGCTGTTTTTGGAGATGTGAGATTTGTTCTTTATGGACAGTGTAATTTGACTCAGCTGTCTGACCTAGCAACATGATTGTGTGTGGCTGTAGTTGATGTTCATTTCCAAAGTGGCAGTTCCTTTTAGGGAGGTCAGAGCTTGACCACTTGAGTGGGGTGAGGCAGATAGGGGAGCATTCTTTATGCGCACCCCGTATCCCACCCAGAAACCAGAGATTGGTGTAGCATATTTCAATATTTCATATTGAGGAATCCGAGAAGGGTGCTTTTGACAGTTGAGTCAGCAGCCACAGTTGGCCCATGCGGCTAAACATGGCCCATAGAAATAAGCAAGAAGTGCGTTATGATTTGACATATACTTTAATAAGGACATTGAGTTAATTTCCAAACTTTAAGGGACGGGAAATTCATGTAAATTCATATCTGTGTG